AGTCCTTAAAAAAAATACTCACTATAGTTCATCCCTTTTGTTTCCTACAGCAAACATCTTTTCTTTTCTTTACTTTTTTTTCTCCTTCCTTCCTTCCTTCGTTCCTTCCTTCCTTCCTTCGTTCCTTCCTTCCTTCCTTCTTGTAAATTACCTTAAAAAAAAATTCCCCTGCCTGACATGTGCTGCTCTCTCTTACCACAAGAATTCTTCTCCCATCTCCGCAAAAGGGGAAAACCAAGATCTATTCAGTTTCTGCATCCAGTACCAAGTCTCAAGGGTGACTTCCAGTCCATTACTCTGTTCCAGCAATATCGAATCACATACTCTAGCCTGTGGACCAGAGAGCAGGTGTAAGCACCACAGCACACCCTTTATAAAACAGTTGAGGATATGGGCAAGGGCAAAGACAAATAGTTACAACATCTAAAGAGTACATTGCGGAAAAGGAAGAAAACATTGACAGGTGCTACAGCTGTTGCTCTACAGCTAGAAACAAAGCTGCAGTTCACGTTAATTATCTGGTCTCCTTTGGTAGCCATTCCATGTTCTTTTTGCCTTCGTTTTCCCCCTCGTCTGTTTGGAGTCACCCCGTCCTTGTTGCTTCTGCTCATGTGCTTGATGATTAAAGATGATAGCATTAGCAGGTTCTTCCCAGTTAATCTCCCAGGAGGTGTTTCCACTCCTCTTTCTCACTTTGGTGTGGGCACACTCTAACATCCCCTTAGCAGTTAAGTCAGTGGATACTATACTATCCCGGCTCCAAATGGCTACATGGAATCTCAGCTTCTGCTTAGGTAGAAACATAGTTGTATCCCTTGCTTGGATATTGTCTCTAAATTAAACTCCAGGTGTGGAAGAAAATTTGCAAATGGGTGATTGAGATGTAAACGTGAAATGTCTCTTTCTTCATTTTGATCACAGAGTTCCCAAATCTAAGTTTTCTTCCTGGTTCTGAGTAAAACAGCACCCTGGAGTGGTGGTTCTTCGAGAACATAAAGATCCTCCATAGGACAGAGCTTTACCTTCCTGGGATACTGTCGCCCAAGTGATACCATAACTGAGTCTAAAATAGGCCAGTAAACATTCTAGGAGTCCAACAGCTGCTAGATGATGGAGTACTGGCAGACCAGTGAACTCCATTATCTTTGGAAGATCTGTCCTTTTTCTTTTCTCTGTATAGTGGATATCTGAATCAGAAACTCGGATGTGTGGAGAACCACGATTCTGACTAATGCACAGATTAGGAAGCTGGTAGAAGCACAGAGGAAGGGAGTAGAGGAAGCATAACAAAATCGTAATCACTATTTTAGTGAATTTAAATTCCGCTTCATTCAAGATGGAAGAAGCATAATTATCTTGTCACTGGGTGGCTGGCTAATAACCCCAAGAATAGTACCGTATCACATATTTACTTTTGGTTGCTATTGCTGCAAATTGGTGCATGGCATTGTCAATAATCCTGATAGTCTGAGTAAGGGGAAGTTAATGTTGGTGAGCCTATGTGAATAGCTTTTATTCCTACGCCATAGCTAGTTTATAATTTTGAATAAGTACTGTAGGACTTGGGGCAAGGGACAGGCTGATTCACATAACACAGAAAGAAATACACCAACAAGATAATAAGACGCCTAATTCAGCTAGTGGACAACTCAAGTCATTTTGTTACCTGGTATACCATTGTTTCCTTTTTAACAAGACTGCTATTCATTTATTCAGTGAGTAATATTTAAGTCCCTGTTTTTGGCCCATTTTTTTTTACTGGCTTGTCTCACTTTCCTTAGTTATTTCTAGTTCTTCATATATTATGGATATTGCTCCTTCTTATATATGTCTCTGCATTTTGTTTTTAAGGCTTTTGATTGTATCTTTACTTGCTTATTTCTCTTAACTTGTACCATTCTGATTTATGAAAAGTTGATTATCCATGACATTTAATTATTTCCTATGTGTATTTGCTTGTTGTAAGTTTCATGATGACGTCTTTTATCCTTTTTGCACTGGACTATTTTTCTGTTATCAATTCATAGGAGGTGTTTTTTTTCCCCCTGTATTAGGGACATTAACCCCTTTGCTCATCATATGCTGCAGATGCTTTCACACATACACATTATTTAAATGTATAACTGTAATACAAATACACATTTGCATAGCACATTAAAAATTATTTATGTTGTCAAGTTTGACATATTTTCCTCCATGGTTTTTAGTTTAATATCATGCTTAAATAGTATTTTATTCCTCACTCCAAGATCATAAAAAAGTCTTATGATAAATTTATGTTATCATTTCATGTAGCAGTTTAATGGTTTCAGCTTAATAATTGCAGATTTATTTTGCTAACACAAGGTAGTTTTCTAATGGTAATCAGTTTTCCTGCTATCATTTACCAAATTTCCATTTTTTTCTCACATAATACGACTTTTTTAAATGACAAGAACCCTCTAGAGATGAGATAAATGGTCATGCTACAGTTTATCTTATTGACATACTTATTTTTGAAAATAAAAACTTTAAACTCCTGTAAGGCAATCCAAGAAAACCTATTGAGATTCAAAGGAAGTATAAAACTAATAGCAAGCAGTCATAAGTTAAACAAAGCAAACAAAATTTCTCTGCTCTACAAAAGAAAAATCTACTACCCCCCGCAAAAAAAAAAAATGGCAAAAAAAAATTCTTTTGAACTAGGTGAATGGTTAATAGTTGCTGTGTGCTATATGAATCTTTTCCAGAATTTATATTTTTCAGCTTCGACTTGAAAGCAGTGTCATTACATCATCCTCAATGAACAAAAGTTATCCTGAATTTGGGATATAGTTATTCCCTTGATCCCATAAATAAGTAGTGACTGTTTAAAAACATTTAAGCTATATAAATAAACCACTCATTTAAAATAAAAAGAATGGTGGGTTGGATCATTTCTCTGTAGTTCTTGGAAATGTGCAAATTCTTTACTTTGGAGATGGATTTTCATCTTTGACATTTGTTTGCACACGTGCATAAAGCTATAGGACCTTCCCATTTGTGAATAATAATCTTTTTATAAAACTGCAGTATTTGTAGACTTTGGACTGTGTGCTTAGCCTGAATTTTAACTCTTGACTTTTAATTTTTAATATTTTAAACCTACAGAAAAGTATAGTGCAGTGAACTTTTCATATATCCTTTACCTGAGTTCACCAGTTATTTTTCCACTTTTGTTTAATATCTCTTTCTGAATTTGAATTTCAAAATCAAATCAAGTTTTTTCAGTTGCCCATATTTTTTATAGCATTTTTTTCCTTCTGATTAGAATCCTTTCCAAAATCCTACTTTGCCTTTTGGGTGTTTTAGTAATCTGGGCACTTTAGTTCTTTTATTTTATTTTTTAAAAAGATTTTATTTATTCATTCATGAGAGACCGAGAGAGGGGGCGGGCGGGCAGAGACACAGGCAGAGGGAGAAGCAGGCTCCATGCAGGGAGCCCGACGTGGGACTTGATCCTGGGTCTCCAGGATCATGCCCTGGGCCGAAGGTGGCGCTAAACCGCTGAGCTACCCAGGCTGCCCTAGTTCTTTAATTTGGAAAGCTCCCCGGCCTTGTCTTTTTTTTTTTTTTTTCTTTCTTCTTTTTGTGACATTGACATCTTTTAAAACTCAGACCAGTTTTGTAGATTATCGTGCAGTCTAGATTGGTCTGGGCTCTTTTATCCCCCCATGATTAGATTCAGGTTAAACATTTTGGCAAAAAAAAAAATACTTAGATCATATTATGACTCTCACTGCATCATGTTAGAAAGCTTATCATGCCACTTTCTCTCACTGATGCTACTAAATTTGATTATTTGTTCTGGGGCCCCTGAGTGGCTCAGTCAGTGCCTGACTCTTGATTTTGGCAGGTAATGATCTCAGGGTTATGAGATTGAGCCCTGGGTGGAGCTCCATGCTGGGCATGGAACCTACTTAAGATTCTCTCTCTCCCTCTGCCCTCCCACCCTCCACTATTTTTCTCTCCCCATCTCTCTAAAATTAAAAACAAAAAAATTTGATCATTTGTAATTTTTAAAAATTTTATCAGAGAAAGCACACATACACATGAATGTGGGGGTGGGGCAGAAGGAAAGAAGCAGATTCTGCAATGAGTGGGGAGCCCAACCTAGGGTTGGATCTCAAGACCCTGAGATCATGACCTGAGCAAAAATCAAGAATCAGATGCTAACCAACTGAGCCACCTGATCATTTGTTTTAAGCAACTAATTTATCTAAAATGAAGTTAGTTCTTTTATAATTAATGTCACCCATATGGTAATAATTTCAGAATCTGTGAATATCCTATGGTTTCTACATTCTTTGACACTTGCCTAGATCCCTTATTACATGGAAAATTATAAAATATTTGTTTCATCTCTATTATTCCTCCTTCATTTATTAGCAATCATTCATTCACTTTGTATTCCACTGAATTATGTAACTATTACAATTATTTTCCTCATAGTTTTTATGCCAGTAGAGTTAAGTGAAAGTCCATGTGCCATTGTTGTAAATGTTTTGAGGAGCCAGAGCAGAAAATAGTATTTTCGGATCATAAGTGCAGTTTCACATGTTATCGTCCTACACAGTTTCCTCTTGAAAATTAATTCATTATTGTAACTAATTAGATTTCAATAAACCACTTATTTTTCATTTTTTTCTCAGTAAATGTTCTCTTTTCATCTCTTTGGGTTTTTTTGCTAATTGCCCAATTGCCTGTATTAATTTCTTTTTTTTTTTTAAGATTTTATTTATTTATTCATGAGAGAGAGAGAGAGAGAGAGGCAGAGACTTAGGTAGAGGGAGAGCAGGCTCCATGCAGGGAGCCCAGTGCAGGACTCAACCTCGGGACTCCAGGATCATGCCCTGAGCTGAAGGCAGACGCTCAACCACTGAGCCACCCAGGCAGGCGTCCCTGCCTGTACTGATTTCTAACTTAATTTCTGTTGCTCTAACATTTGTGACAATTATACATTTATCTTTCCATCATAATAGCTGTGGAAATACAGAGGAGTCTGAATCAACTTGGAACACCTCAAGATTCACCTGAACTGAGGCAACAGCTGTAAGTATTTAATAATTAAAAAAACAAAAACAAAAACCCCACTGTTATATTCCTTTGATGTAGTGTTATGTTTACTGGAGAAACAATGGAAAAGTAGTAAGATTTTTCAGTTCCTTTATTTGTACAAGTTTTTGTATTGGTTTTTCCCTTTTCAGGATAGGCAGATGTTTTTCTTTATTTTAAAGAGCTGGCTTACTCTAGCAAAACAAAGTTTAGTTGTCTTACACTTTTTTGAATAGGTTGTTTTGATGGCTTTTGAAAAATGATATTCTAAGCTTCTCTGTTTATGTGATTTACTTCTCATACCTAACCGTTGCTTCAGTGACTAGATTTTTTTGTTTTAAGTTTGAGGTGTACAATTTTTTTTATATATATAATAAGTTTATTTTTTATTGGTGTTCAATCTGCCAACATACAGAATAACACCCAGTGCTCATCCCGTCAAGTGCCCCCTCAGTGCCCGCCACCCAGTAACCCCCACCCCCTGCCCTCCTCCCCTTCCACCACCCCTAGTTCGTTTCCTAGAGTTAGGAGTCTTCATGTTCTGTCTCCCTTTCTGATGTTTCCCACACATTTCTTCCCCTTCCCTTATATTCCCTTTCACTATTATTCACATTCCCCAAATGAATGAGAACATACACTGTTTGTCCTTCTCCGATTGACTTACTTCACTCAGCATAATACCCTCCAGTTCCATCCACGTTGAAGCAAATGGGGGGTATTTGTCATTTCTAATGGCTGAGGAATATTCCATTGTATACATAGACCACATCTTCTTTATCCATTCATCTTTCGATGGGCACCGAGGCTCCTTCCACAGTTTGGCTATTGTGGACATTGCAGCTAGAAACGTCGGGGTGCAGGTGTCCCGGCGTTTCATTGCATCTGAATCTTTGGGGTAAATCCCTAACAGTGCAATTGCTGGGTCGTAGGGCAGGTCTATTTTTAACTCTTTGAGGAACCTCCACACAGTTTTCCAGAGTGGCTGCACCAGTTCACATTCCCACCAACAGTGTAAGAGGGTTCCCCTTTCTCCGCATCCTCTCCAACATTTGTTGTTTCCTGCCTTGTTAATTTTCCCCATTATCACTGGTGTGAGGTGGTATCTCATTGTGGTTTTGATTTGTATTTCCCTGATGGCAAGTGATGTGGAGCATTTTCTCATGTGCGTGTTGGCCATGTCTATGTCTTCCTCTGTGAGATTTCTCTTCATGTCTTTTGCCCATTTCATGATTGGATTGTTTGTTTCTTTGGTGTTGAGTTTAATAAGTTCTTTATAGATCTTGGAAACTAGCCCTTTATCTGATAGGTCATTTGCAAATATCTTCTCCCATTCTGTAGGTTGCCTTTTAGTTTTGTTGACTGTATCCTTTGCTGTGCAAAAGCTTCTTATCTTGATGAAGTCCCAATAGTTCATTTTTGCTTTTGTTTCTTTTGCCTTCGTGGATGTATCTTGCAAGAAGTTTCTGTGGCCAAGTTCAAAAAGGGTGTTGCCTGTGTTCTCCTCTAGGATTTTGATGGAATCTTGTCTCACATTTAGATCTTTCATCCATTTTGAGTTTATCTTTGTGTATGGTGCAAGGGAGTGGTCTAGTTTCATTCTTCTGCATGTGGATGTCCAATTTTCCCAGCACCATTTATTGAAGAGACTGTCTTTCTTCCAGTGGATAGTCTTTCCTCCTTTATCGAATATTAGTTGACCATAAAGTTCAGGGTCCACTTCTGGGTTCTCTCTTCTGTCCCATTTATCTATGTGTCTGTTTTTGTGCCAGTACCACACTGTCTTGACTACAGCTTTGTAGTACAACCTGAAATCTGACATTATGATGCCTCCAGCTATGGTTTTCCTTTTTAAAATTCCCCTGGCTATTCGGGATCTTTTCTGATTCCACACAAATCTTAAAATAATTTGTTCTAACTCTCTGAAGAAAGTCCATGGTATTTTGATAGGGATTGCATTAAACGTGTAAGTTGCCCTGGGTAACATTGACATTTTCAAAATATTAATTCTGCCAATCCATGAGCATGAAATATTTTTCCATCTCTTTGTGTCTTCCTCAATTTCTTTCAGAAGTGTTCTGTAGTTTTTAGGGTATAGATCCTTTACCTCTTTGGTTAGGTTTATTCCTAGGTATCTTATGCTTTTGGGTGCAATTGTAAATGGGATTGACTCCTTAATTTCTCTTTCTTCAGTCTCATTGTTAGTGTATAGAAATGCCACTGACTTCTGGGCATTGATTTTGTATCCTGCCACGCTACCAAATTGCTGTATGAGTTCTAGCAATCTTGGGGTGGAGGCTTTTGGGTTTTCTATGTAGAGTATCATGTCATCGGCAAAGAGGGAGAGTTTGACTTCTTCTTTGCCAATTTGAATGCCTTTAATGTCTTTTTGTTGTCTGATTGCTGAGGCTAGGACTTCCAGTACTATGTTGAATAGCAGTGGTGAGAGTGGACACCCTGTCTTGTTCCTGATCTTAGGGGAAAGGCTCCCAGTGCTTCCCCATTGAGAATGATATTTGCTGTGGGCTTTTCGTAGATGGCTTTTAAGATGTCGAGGAATGTTCCCTCTATCCCTACACTCTGAAGAGTTTTGATCAGGAATGGATGCTGTATTTTGTCAAATGCTTTCTCTGCATCTAATGAGAGGATCATATGGTTCTTGGTTTTTCTCTTACTGATATGATGAGTCACATTGATTGTTTTACGAGTGTTGAACCAGTCTTGTGTCCCGGGGATAAATCCTACTTGGTCATGGTGAATAATTTTCTTAATGTATTGTTGTATCTATTGGCTAGTACCTTGTTGAGAATTTTTGCATCCATGTTCATCAGGGATATTGGTCTGTAATTCTCCTTTTTGGTGGGGTCTTTTGTGTCTTGGGAGGCTTGTGATGACGGGTTCAATTTCCTCCCTGGTTATTGGCCTGTTCCGGTTTTCTATTTCTTCCTGTTCCAGTTTTGGTAGTTTGTGACTTTCCAGAAATGCGTCTATTTCTTCTAGATTGCCTAATTTATTGACATATAGCTGTTCATAATTTGTTTTTAAAATCGTTTGTATTTCCTTGGTGTTGGTAGTGATCTCTCCTTTCTCATTCATGATTTTATTAATTTGAGTCTTCTCTCTCTTCCTTTAAATAAGTTTGGCTAATGGTTTATCTATCTTATTAATTCTTCAAAGAACCAACTCCTGGTTTTGTTGATCTGTTCCACAGTTCTTCTGGTCTCGATTTTGTTGAGTTCTGCTCGAATCCTTATTAACTCTCTTCTTCCGCTGGGTGTAGGATCTATTTGCTGTTTCTTCTCTAGCTCCTTTATGTGTAAAGTTAGCTTTAGTATTTGAGTTCTTTCCAGTTTTTGAATGGATGCTTGTATTGCGATGTATTTCCCCCTTAGGACTGCTTTTGCTGCATCCCAAAGATTTTGAACGGTTGTATGGTTGTATCTTCATTCTCATTAGTTCCCATGAATCTTTTTAATTCTTCCTTAATTTCCTGGTTGACCCTTTCATCTTTTAGCAGGATGGTCCTTAACCTCCACGTGTTTGATGTCCTTCCAAACTTCTTGTTGTGATTTAGTTCTAATTTCAAGGCATTATGGTCTGAGAATATGCAGGAGACGATCCCAATCTTTTGGTATCGGTTCAGACCCGATTTGTGACCCAGTATGTGGTCTATTCTGGAGAAGGTTCCATGTCCACTTGAGAAGAATGTGTATTCAGTTGAGTTTGGATGTAAAGTTCTGTAGATATATGTGAAATCCATCTGGTCCAATGTATCATTTAAAGCTCTAGTTTCTTTGGAGATGTTGTGTTTAGAAGACCTATCGAGTATAGAAAGCGCTAGATTGAAGTCACCAAGTATAAGTGTATTATTACCTAAGGATTCCTTCACTTTGGTTATTAATTGATATATCTTGAGGATTGTTAAGTCCTCTTGTTGGATAGATCCTTTAAGTATGATATAGTGTCCCTCTTCATCTCTCACTACAGTCTTCGAGGTAAATTTTAGTTTATCTGATATAAGGATGGCTACCCCTGCTTTCTTTTGAGGTCCATTTGAATGGTAAATGGTTCTCCAACCTTTTACTTTCAGGCTGTATGTGTCCTTCTGTCTAAAATGAGTCTCTTGTAGACAGCAAATAGATGGGTCCTGCTTTTTTATCCAGTCTGACACCCTGTGCCTTTTGATGGGGTCATTAAGCCCGTTCACGTTCAGAGTTACTATTGACAGATATGAGTTTAGTGTCATCATGATATCTATTCAGTCCTTGTTTTTGTGGATTGTTCCACTGAACTTCTTCTTAAAGGGGAATTTTAAGAGTCCCCCTTAAAATTTCTTGCAGAGCTGGTTTGGAGGTCACATATTCTTTCAGTTCCTGCCTGTCTTGGAAGCTCTTTATCTCTCCTTCCATTTTGAATGAGAGCCTTGCTGGATAAAGTATTCTTGGTTGCATGTTCTTCTCATTTAGGAGCCTGAATACATCCTGCCAGCCCTTTCTGGCCTGCCAGGTCTCTGTGGAGAGGTCTGCTGTTACCCTAATACTCCTCCCCATAAAAGTCAGGGACTTCTTGTCTCTTGCTGCTTTGAGGATCTTCTCTTTATCTTTGGAATTTCCAAGCTTCACTATTAAATGTCGAGGTGTTGAACGCCTTTTATTGATTTTAGGGGGGGGATCTCTCTATTTCCTGGATCTGAATGCCTGTTTCCCTTCCCAGATTAGGAAAGTTTTCAGCTATGATTTGTTCAAATACATATGTTGGCCCTCTGGCCCTTTCAGTGCCCTCAGGAACCCCAATTAAACATATTTTTTTCTTCCTCAGGCTGTCATTTATTTCCCTTAATCTATCTTCATGGTCTTTTAATTGTTTGTCTCTTTTTTCTTCAGTTTCCCTATTTGCCATCAACTTGTCTTCTATGTCACTCACTCGTTCTTCCACCTCGTTAACCCTCGTCGTTAGGACTTCTAGTTTGGATTGCATCTCATTCAATTGATTTTTAATTTCTGCCTGATTGGATCTAAATTCTGCAGTCATGAAGTCTCTTGAGTCCTTTATGCTTTTTTCTAGAGCCACCAGTGGCTGTATAATAGTGCTTCTGAATTGGCTTTCTGACATTGAATTGTAATCCAGATTTTGTAACTCTTTGGGAGAGAGGACTGTTTCTGATTCTTTCTTTTCGGTGAGGTTTTCCTTCTCGTCATTTTGCTCAGTGCAGAGTGGCCAAAACCAAGTTGTATTGGGAAAAGGAGAGAAAGAGAGAGAAGGAAAGAAAAAAGAAAAAGAAAAAAAAGGAAAAAAAAAGAGAAGAAAAAGAGAAAGAAAAAGAAAGAAAGGTAAAAAAAAAGGGGGGTGGGGGAAGCAATCAGAAATCAAAAAGAAAAGAAAAAAAAAAAACAAAAAACCACGGGGAGTATCTTCTGATTCTGTAGACTTTAAGTCCCTCGACTTCCCCTGGAACTGGTCTGTCCAGCTGGTCTTCTGGGGGAGGGGCCTGCTGTGCTGATTCTCAGGTGTTAGCACTTGGGGGAGCTGCTCTGCCCCTGCCTGCTGCAGGGCTCAGCGGGGGTTGTTCACCCCGTGAGGCCCCAGGAGGAACAACCCCAGTGGCGGGGCCAGCTCTGCAGCCCTGGAGTCAGCTCCCGCAGTAGCTCCAGAGCTCTCCGTCCGCAGGGCCTGGAGGCTCCGGGGCGGGGCCGCTGATCTGCTCAGCTCGGGGCAGGAGCGTCCTCGCTGTCCTGGGCCCTCCCGGCCTCTGCCTGTCCCGGGGGAGGCCGGATCCTGGGCTGTGTCCCGGCGCCCTGTGCTCGGGGCCTGCGCTGTGGGATTCGCGCTCCCGCCCCGCAGCCCCCTCCGCGGAGCCGCCGCCCGAGCCCCTCCGAGCTGCTCCGGCCCCGCCGTGCGCGCTGCAGCCCTTAGGGAGCTCGGCGCACTCTCCCGGGGCGCAGGTGTCTGTTAGTGTCCCCGGGAGCCCGAGGGCATCCCCGCCCTCCTGGGTCCTGCTCCACTCCCTGCGAGCCCCTTTCCGCCCGGGAAGGTTGGTGCAGCTCCTGCTCCTCCGGGACGGGGCTCTCCTGTCCTGGGGACACTCGCCCGGGCCTCAGCCCGGCTCCTCGCGGGGCCCCTCCCCCTCGGAGGCCTTTTGTGTCTTTATTTCTTTTTCCCCGTCTTCCTGCCTTGATAGAAGCGCGAACTCTTCTCACTATAGCGTCCCAGCTGGTCTCTCTTTAAATCTCAGGCCGAATTCGTAGGTTTTCAGGATGATTGAAGGTTATCTAGGTAATTTGGTGGGGACAGGTGACCTGGGGACCCCACTCTTCCGCCGTCTTGCCCCTCCTCTCCAGTGACTAGATTTTTATTTGGTTTAGATCCAGTACATATTCAGTATGAATTGTTATCCCTCCAAAAACTTATGCCTAAATCCTTGAATTTCAGAAAGCATTAGCCTCCGTTAAAAAAAAAAAAAAAAAGGTCTAGTGAAGTTATGTGGTACATGTTTCAGTAAATTAATATGCTGTTAGAAGAACAATGATACTTTGTGGTGTTGCATATTTAAAGTGTCTTTACACATTTTCTCATCTGAATCTTTCTCATCTGGGGTAAAATACATAGATCAAATAACTGTTTTCATTTTGCTCATAAGGAAAATATGTCTCACAGGAGCGTAATGATTTGCCTAACATCATTGTGAACCTGAGTCTTAATTCAGTGCTGTTACAACAATGTTTCAAGTAATATGTATGTCATAAATGATATTCCAAAAAACGTTAGCTATAGAAGGAGAAGTTGCAAAAAGGACTAAATTAAAAGATAGGTGATGGGAATTTGTGTTTTTTATGAAGTACAGTTTGAAGAATTTATAGTGATGTGTAATTTACACGGACTCTTTCTGCCATGGAGAGATGTCGGGGTGGGAAAAATACCCCAAGTCTAAATAACAAACCACCATTTGTTAAACTAAGATGGAATGGAGGGGCACCTGGGTGGCTCAGTTGGTTGAGCGTCTGTCTGACCCTTGATTTCCACTCCAGTTATGATCTCAGGGTTGTGAGATCAAGCCTTGCATCAGGCTGCCCACTCAGAACAGAGTCTCTGTCTCTCTCTAATAAATTAATAAATCTTAAAAAAAAACTAAAATGGAATAGAAGCATGTAATTCTTAATAGATATATTTTGCTAAGGTTAGTAGTGGAGATTGTGAATAGATAGACATCAGTAAGCCTTCTTTTCAGAAATTTAGCTAAATTACAATTTCTAAAGATTTTAAAGGAATAATAAAGGTAGAAGATTTGGAAAATATATAGAAGCAGGTTCTAATTCTTCCTTATCAGTCAAATACAGGTATGTATATCTAAAAACACTCCTATACAGTATCTCATTATTTTAAAGGATTCCAAGTATAACTAAATAAGTGTTTAAAAGGAGAGATAATATATTGAAAAGTACTGATGTTGTAATTTGTAAAGCATAACATTAGATTAAGCTTTTTTTTTTAGAGTCAAGTTCTTGAGTTAAAAATCTGACTTTTTACTTTATAAGCTAGCTAAAAAAGATAGATACAGATACTGATAGGATTTACTTCTTATTGTGTTCTTTCTGTTTACAGAGAAATGCTATTATTCTTTCCAAAGCAAACTTAAAAATAGTAAATATAAAAAAAAATAGTAAATGTATATTGATTACCTCTCCCCCCCCTCTTTTTTTTTAATCTATAAGGATATAAATGTCCAGATAGAGAAAGAAGAGAGGCTAGATGTACTCCTGAGAACAGGACAAAGTCTGGCGACAAATCCTCTTCATTTATTAAAATGACCTCCCAACTGTGGGATGCAGACAAAAGTCTCTCACCACCTAACACCTCCATATCTAAAACATCAGATATCCCATAGTCTGGCTTTGATTCAAATCATCTTCCTTTCTAAATGGCTGCTGAGATTTATTTCTCAAAGCTTGGTTGCCCTGTGTGAGTAAAGAACTTTCCATGTAATATTTGACCAGTATTTATCAAAAAATAGAATCTGGATTTTTTTTTTTTTAAACTGGCTCCACACCCAATGTGGGGCTTGAACTCACAACCCTCAGATTTAGAGTCATGTGCTCTACTGTCAGCCAGCTAGGTGCCCTGAAATTTTTGTTTTCATAGAGAAAATTTAGAGCCACTCTATAAAATAGTGATTTTTATCAAACTATTTATAAGGATTGATTCAACTGGCAGAGGTGTAACTTAAAGAAATCTCTTTGTTCTTTGGTTCTATAATGTGTGTTTTTTTCACTTTAGGCAACAGAAGCAGCAGTATACTAATCAACTTGCCAAAGAAACAGATAAGTACATTAAAGAGTTTGGATCTCTGCCCACCACCCCCAGTGAACAGGTATCAAGCCTTAAGACATGTTGTTGATGTATTGAATGTGAAAGAAATTACATGCATAATAGGGTCTTTGAACTTTTATGCTAGAAAGGAAATTAAGGGGGAAAATTGTATTTGAGATTAGTTCACAGAACACAAAACTATATTTAATTGCCCTGGTAGTATCCTGTGGTTCAATAAAGCAAAAATTATTTCCATGCAGTTGCCCTGACCCATAATTAAGAAGTGCTCAGAAAATGCCCCCTGAGTAATTGTTTCCTGGCCTTCCAGGACTGACTCCATGTGACACGTACACATTCATGATGTGAGGTTTCCTAGGGGTGCATGTTTATTTCCTTGCTTATCATTTAGTGAAAGTTACTAGTTAGGTAAGAGTACAAGGTTTTATTTTCCTAAAAAGAAAACAAAAGAACTACTACTTCAAAATAACCTCAAAATCATGGGCCAGTTTTTAGGATGAAAATTTTGGGTGAGAAATCCAACATTATGGACCTTTTGCCTCGAGATAGTACATATACATAGTACTTTAATATATTGTCAAAATGTTGCTGAGATGTAAACAGTAGGAAATTGGAGAGTGATTTATTCTGGAAACTTCAGAATAAAGAGCCAACTCGTGGCGAAACAACTTTGGTGAATTCTATAGAACCTTATAGCTTGATTCTAGTAGGTTTCTCTGTTTCCTCTAGCGTCAAAGGAAAATACAGAAGGATCGCTTAGTAGCTGAATTCACAACGTCGCTGACAAACTTCCAAAAGGTCCAGAGGCAAGCCGCTGAAAAAGAGAAAGAGTTTGTTGCTCGAGTGAGAGCCAGCTCCAGAGTATCTGTGAGTATTGAACAGGGCGTAATAAAGTGCATGTGCTGTTCCCTTGAAGGCCTGCATCAGCGTTTTCTTAAGTCGTAAGGATCTGTGACTGACTGTCTTGGAAGTCAATATTTGAGTACTTATTTTCAGGTTTTTCTGCTCAGTTTTAAGAAGGATGACAGTTATGTATTGCTGTAGTTATTTTGTCCATGTCAGGGAGCCAGAGATTACAGATTATTATATAAAAATATGGGAACATTTTGTCAGAAAAGACTAGGGCTCAGATCCTGAATGATATTCCCACTTTGGTTTGTACTAGGGGCTGTCACCTTGCATCTGGGCCAATGTAGGAAATGCTTTACTCCTGGGTTATATGAAGATGATGGAAAGGAACAGAGTGAATCAATTGCATGAATACTGAAAATGAATATAAGCCTGAAGAAAATAAACAAAGGGATAACTTTTAGTGGAATTTTGTGTTACTCTCATTTTAAATTTCCTCAAAAACCATTGCCGGTTGTTTCCTTGTTCCTTAATGTAGAGTTTCCTGGACTATATTACATTTTAATCATATAATATTGATTATTTGGCCCTTGAGAATATTTAATGAATTCCTTCCTTGTCAGCTTAGGGAAATAATTTTATTGTTATTTGAAGCACTTGACCTAAAAAGTTAGAACAAAAACATTTCTCTTTCTGCACATAGACATGCACATGTGTACATAAACCCATCTAGATTATCATAAGAGAAAATGTGAGTGTTGTGATGGTGTTTTTTCTTTGCCACTTCTCAATGCATTCTATTACTGAATTATCCAGGGTGGTTTTCCTGAAGACAGCTCAAAGGAAAGGAATCTCGTATCCTGGGAAAGGTAAGAAATATAAACCATACAGATCAGAAGATGATTTTTCAAATGTGTTTTCTACCTTATGGTTCCTGGAACAGAATGAAAGCTTTCAGTTTATTATGTCATGACTATCCTAAGTTATAAATACAAAGTAATAAATTGGAAAAATTTTTCAAAGTAATCATTTGTAAAGCATATATATATATATAAATATTCCAATTCGGCAGTAATTTGTAAATGTTTATCCAAGTAAATATTATTGACTTAATTATTATTTGATGGAGATTTTTTTTTATTTCCTCATGTGACATTTAGGTCAACCAAGAAGAAATACCCGGTTGCCAAATGTAGAGTCCAATAATTAATAACTCTAAAAAAATAATACCAATGAAATGAAACATGAATAAAATTTAACTAATATTTCTGTTCTAATCTTAAAACTTAAGAATACAAATGAGAAATTGAAGCAGTTCTCTGACGTTGAAGAAAAGACACACTATTTTGTGCTTCCTCAATAAGAAAAGAAATCCCATTACTTCCATTATTTTAATACCATTCTTTTTTTTTTCCGATGTTTTGTTCTGTTAGCCAAGCTCAACCTCAGGTACAGGTGCAGGAGGAAGAAATTACAGAGGATGACCTCCGCCTTATTCATGAGAGAGAATCTTCCATTAGGCAACTCGAAGTAAGTTTGCCGTGGCAGCTGGGTGGCTGCGCTGTCCTCAAGCATTTTCAGCGTGTCTGTCCTCAAGATGCTTAGACGATGCTAGGGGAGGGGCTGACAAAGAAAACTAAATATATCATTGTGGTGGCATTTCTCATAAATGAGAATAGTTCTCTTCTTTTTTTTAAACAAATCTCGTTAGAATTTGCGCTAAAATGAAGGCAAACCTCCCTCGTCTCCAACTTTTGTTTTTTATCCTATGAGATCACCTCAGGTCCTTAGCATGGAGAAAGCCTTAGTTCTTGTGGAACCTACCTATTCCCTAGAAGGTTGGCTACAGTTTGTTGAGGGTTTTCAAGCCACATTTGATAAATTCTTTGCACTATCTTGTTCAGCTCTCATAAAAACCATGAAGTAGTAAGTTAACCTTGTCGTCATCATCACCATTTTATAGATTGGGAAACTAAGGCACAGGATGAATAGGTAAATTGCCCCCCAATATAGAATATTTAAACTTTACTCTTTAATCAGGCAAAGTAATAGTTATGATATATTAAAGAAAAGTGAATTTATAACTTGTTCATTGCTATTCCACTGCATAATCAAATTTATTAACATGAGAGTTTAGACTTAGACCTAATGTTTTATACTTTTATATTGTCAAGTTGATGTGTAATATCAATGGTATTTTATACTCTTATGAGGAAATACTGCTAGTAAGAAAAAAAATTATCAGACTACGTAAACATAAACTCAATGACCCAGGGTCCTTCTCTGTTACAAAGATTCCTGGTTTCCATGCTGCCTCACTTGGTATTTTTAATGTCACAAACTTACTTTTAAAGAACTGGTTACAGTTTTTCAAGGTCATCTTATTTAAGCTTCCTTTTGTCTAATAGTTTCTTGATATTTCCAAAATTGATGTATTAAGCCTAGAGTCATTTTCTCTTATGTCTAAGTGGTGGTTTGGTTTTTGTTTTGTTTTTGGTTTTTTTTTTTAATTTTCTTCTTTTGTAGATTGGGAGCTGAATTCTGATTATAATAACATGTGCCTTTTTCTCTCAGGCTGATATTATGGATATTAATGAAATATTTAAAGATTTGGGAATGATGATTCATGAGCAAGGAGATGTGATAGGTAAGCCCTGCTGAGATGGGAACAGGCTACTTACGCAGTTTACCTGTGGTAACCTCTTTTTTTTTTTTTTTTTTCCTGTGGTAACCTCTTAAGCAAGAGTAGCCTGTCTCTTGGGGGTCCCCTGGAATGAAAAGCTGTGCTTTTCATTTGTCTACAACAGACAAAGCATCACCCTTATTATCTAAATAAACCCTCATTATCTAAAGCAGATCTAATTTTTGGCTCCTACTGATTGAATCAACTGGCTTCATTTATTCTTGAAGCCCCAGATCTAATCAGAGCCTCCTGTGCTAAGACTGTGGAAGGCAGCACATAGCCTCACTGCCGCCTGTTTGCCGGATCCCTGGTTTCCATCTTAACCCCTGCTGATTCTCAGCACACCAAGCACTTTCTGGAAAACCTGTGCTGTTTATAATTGTGCATGCTATCTTGTCTCTTAGACTAAAGGGAATAGGTATCCATTTGCCTAATCATTTATTCGAATATCTTTTTGGTAGATTAATTTAGTAGTGTTACTTAGATGCTAAGCATTCTTTTATAAATTCTTTTTTAAAAAAGTCAGCAACTAAGACTCCCCCTAAGTTTTGAATGTGATAGCTCTTCAGTTAGGATATAACCATTGGCACTGATCAGTGTCCTGACCATTTTTATCATTTAGAAATATGAAGATCTCATTGGATGTGTCTAAAGATACATTTAATAAATGTTCTGAATTTGGTTCATTGAGACACTTGGACCTGTACTTTACCATAACTGTTATTTGCCAATTCTTAACGGCTTCTCTGTAGCCACAATAGATCACAGGGTAAAATTTCAAAAATCAATTAATTTGTTCATCCAGTAAGTATTTACTGAGTGCCTACTATATCCAGGCACAAGTCTAGGCATTGGGGATTTAGCTGAAAGTAAATGAAATGAAAGACTCTGCCTTCATAAATCTTACAATCTAATTGGAAGAGAGAGACGATTTTTTAAAAGGAAAGAAAAGTAAGTAAATGCTGATAAGTGCTATCGGGAAAATAAGGCAAGCAGTGAGATGGGGCTGCTAGAAGTGGGGAATGTTTCTGCTTTCCTAGGGTGGTCAAGCAAGACCTTACCGACAGGTGACATTTTAGTGAAGACTTCATGGCATTAAGGGAACAAGTGAAAGAAAAATTTCCAGGCAGAGCAAAGGGCAAGTGCAAAAGCCTTTCAGGCAGAAGTATGTCTGGTGTTCTTGGTGAGTGAAATGAGGGAGATGGAGATGAGGTCAGAGGTCATAAACTTTGGCATTGTGGAGGACCCCTGAGCCATCATGAGGATTTGTGTTACTACTGATGGTTGGAAATGGAAAGCCACAGGAGGATTTGAGCAGAGGAATGTTATTATCTGACACAAGGTTTAAAAGACTCCCTTTGGCTACTCGTTTTGAGAACAGACCATAAAGGGACAAGACCAGAAGCAAAGAGAGCACTTAGAAGATGATGGCAGGAATCGGAGTGAGCAGTGTGTTGCTTCAAATCAGGATGGAAGGCAGCGAAGCAGCGAGAAGCAGAATTGTGGATAGCTTTAAAATGTAAAACCATAAAACATATAAATAAATAAATAAACAAACAAACAAACAAATAAATAAATAAATAAATAAATAAATAAAATGTAGAAGCAAAAAGATTTACTGACCAGCTGGATGTGAATGTGAGATAGAATTAATTCAAGGACAATTCTTCAGGTTTTTGGCAAGGCCAGAGAAAGGATGATGCTGCCATTTTCTGAGATGGAGCAGTCTATAACCAGAGCAGGTTTAGAGGGATAGAAATCAACAATTTTTGGATGTGTTAAGTGTGAGGTACCAGTTGAAATGAAGTTAGCTTGCTAGGCAGTCACAAATTACAAGGGAAATAAATCAGCATCAGTCTTTTTTTTTTTTTTTTTTTTGTACCCATATTCAGCTACAAAGGTGCAGGTTGGAGTTTTGTCACATAAGTCTGGCTAAAGTAGGTGGCAAGGGAGCCGAGGGTGAATGCAAGAAAGTGTGGTTCACTGGTGGCCAAGGGGACCTAAGTTGGGTAAGGAGGAACGTGAGGGCATGAAGTGTGTTGAGAGATGGTGAAACAGTAGTAGGGTCAGTGAAGTCGGGTGTTGGAAGGAGTGTGCTATGTAGGTAGCAGGTGATACGCAGGGAGTGAGGTTTGAATGAGTTTATAGAGAGGTTGCAATAGTGTAATGACAAGGGCTGGTATATGGTCTTGGAGGTGGGTGGCTGGGAGAGGGAAACAGGCAAAGTCATTGAAAAAGTATGTTCGAGGCTTTGAAAAGGCAAGGTATTAGGTCAGCAGTTGGCTTGTGAAATTTCCAGTTTGGGGTAATAGAAGCATCGAAGGGTCCATCAGTGAATCCAGGGCAGAAATACTCCGAGAATAAAGGCAAGACCAGAGTTCTGTAAACGTCTGCTACAGGGACCAAGTGAGAGTTGGCAGGGAGAAGCGAGACACACAGGTCTCAGGCTGCAGGGTGCCGCTTGTTCTATGTCTAGGCCAGAGGAAAGCTGGCGCCACTTCAGGAGGCTGCATGAGCCCTCAGGGAGGACTAGGTTTTAGCACAGAAGTAGGTTGGTGATGACCGCAGAGCAAATGATGGTTTTCAGTACTCTGTTTCCTCAGGAACACTGGTTAGATGTTTAGAGTTGCGTTGGCCATCAGAGCCCACAAACAAAATAGTACTTTTCAGGAGTTACCAGGTAGAACTGGAATTGTGTTATAACGGGGATGATCCAGTTTCTTTCCAAATATTTGTGTGTTGTCTGGATCATTTGACAAATAGCATAAGGAAGACTAAGAGCCGTTTAAAAAAAACATTCAACTTTCCCCCTATGGTAAACTGATGGTAACATTTGAATAGTGAACATGTTTGGTGTTATGTTGAATGAAATCTTGTGATTTATGCACCTCTCTTACTGGAGCATCTAACAGCTGTGTGTGTGTGTGTGTGTGTGTGTGTGTGCACGCGCGTGTGTGTTTTGTTTTAAAGACAGCATAGAAGCCAATGTGGAAAGTGCAGACGTGCATGTTCAGCAAGCAAACCAGCAGCTGTCAAGGGCAGCAGAATATCAGGTAATATTAACTGCAGTAAATTCTCTCGTAATTTAGGCTTTCCACTGTGTGTGTGTGTGTGTGTGTGAGAGAGAGAGAGAGAGAGAGACTGATCAGGTATTAAGGAGATGTTAAATTGTAAAAGCCCCATGGAAGACAGATCAGAAATCTGCCAGTTAGTTTGAAACTGATGTTGGCCTGTTTATTCTCAGGGTCAAACCAGAATTGTGGCCCCCAGGGATGGGAAGTTCAATGTTTATAGAGTCCTGAGAGGAGCCATAGACGGACACCTCCAGGCGTTTCTGACAGCTGGCAGTCTCTGATGCCATTGTGACCTTCCAACCCAGAAATCTCCTTGATAACCTTCTTCTGTTTCTCTCACTGTTTCTTTCCACCTTTTCTTTCTTTTTTGTCTGTGACACTCTGCACAGAAAAGGCAACGATCTTTGCTCTAGAGAGTTCTCTTCAAGTCCTATGGAAATTATATTCTCTTGGCGTGTCCTTGATCACTAGGTATAATCAGCATTCAGCAGATCCTTCACCAGGAATGAACTGATTTCTTAGATGGATCAGATTAATATATGTGACCATATATTAATTAATTAATTAAGGAGTCCATATATGTGACCAATACAAAAGACATGACACTACTGCACAAATATTAGGACTGTGAACTATGAATATATCATACAATATAAAATGAGGCCAGGCCCTTTGGGAAGCCCTAAATACCACTGTAGCATTTGATTTCCTTTTTAAAACTCCACTTCATGTTGTCGTTCATAATTATTTTTCTTAGACCATGTTGCCACCTTATAAAGTATCTAAGATATTGTCACAGTCTTAGATGTTTTCCAATTGCTTTTCACTTTGCTCACTAACCTCAGAAGTCCCCTTTCATTTCAGTGCCATTTTACATTAGACAAATCACTGCATACGTAGTGATACATAGGGAATAGTGAAGCTTTATAGAGATTGCTGAGTTACAGCCAACTGTATTCAATGATGGCGTAGCTCTTACTCACCTTGACCTTCTATGTGCATGTGATTCAGGTATGCAGCTCAGTAGAATTAATGTCATAGACTGTAGGTATCATTCAGGAATGTCAAAAACACACACACAAAAATCCGTAAATGCTAATAGTCCCAACTGCTCAAATACAGTGTTTAACAGGATTTATTAGTAACTAGGTTTACGTGTTAATTTTGTTTTGCTTTTGGTATTTGGAAGGATATAGATATATCTCCTAAGTTTTACTTTTCCCCTTCCTTAGGGAAGGGCAAAACTCTACAGCCACCCTGGGGGAAAGAAATACATCTTCCCAAGCCAAACCTCCATATCTGGAGCTGCCCCATACTGAATCCCACAGGCCCTGAAAGGATGAGGAAAGAACCATGCAACACAAGTGCTAGGAAAAAAGCAGCTTCCCTGTAGTTCTTCTTGGAAGCCTTGACATTAGACTCTTGCCTCTGCAAAATATGGCGCTTCTAAATAGTTTGGGTGAACCATGAGTGGAAGGGAAGCTGCTTAGTACTTTTCTCGTTGCAGTACCCTGGGACCTCACCACACCACACTAGGGAGGGTCCCTGGGCCACAGATACCCCATAGGGGGATGCCTGTGATGGTTCTTACAGGTATATCACACATGTGTCTGTCATGCTCAAGTGGAGCTGGGGAAAGTCTGTAGGCAAGATGACTGAAACTCTAGAGAAGTTGTGCTTCGTATAAGGAGGAGTATTCAATTGAAAAAAAAATTACTGAATATGTGGTATACTGAAAGGCATCATAGTTTTTCAGGAGAATTTCAGAGTTGGAAACCTATCTTTCCATAAATTTTATGGTACTACTACTTGACAAAGAAAATTTACAAACTTTTCAACTTTGTAAGAAAAAGGATTCCGGGGGCACCTGGCTGACTCAATCGGTTGAGCCTCTGCCTTGGGCTCAGTTCATGGTCCCAGGGTCTTGGGATTGAGCATCGGGTTCCTTGTTCATGGGGAGTTTGCTTCTCCCTCTGTCCCATTCCCTGTGCTCTCTTTTGTGCACTCTCTCTCTCTCTCTCTCTCTCTCTTTGTCAATATAATAAATCTTTAATAAAAAGGATTTTTGCATGTTGCTGTGAGATATGCAGGCTGTTAAAGAAATACAGAAATCTGCAGCTGGACCAGGAATGAAGAATAGAACAGAACTCTTAACTCTCTATTTTAAATTGCTACTTTATAATTTTTTAGCTTTTTGTTTTTTTATTTGTATGCTGAGATTTTAAATGCAATTTCCATTAATATTAAAAAATGGGAACTTTGGAAACTAATAATTTACTTCAGGAAAAATTGCCAAGCATTTGTACTTGCTGATATTTTCAGAGAACTCATTTTGCAGAGCAACTCTTTGATGAACGTTTAAAAATCTATAAGCTTTTAAGCTGTTCTTAGTTATTACACATAGGTTTGCTCAGTCTGTCACCTAAGTCAGTAACTTGCATTTCTTTGTGTCTTTTTTAAGCCTAACCACACCCAGAAAAATTACCGACAAAAGTTGAATAACTGGCCCCTGAATTATATCATTAATTCAAGAAGACTATTCTTTGAAAGAATAGTGCCACTTGTATTTGAAGAGATTTTTGAAAAGCAAAAAAAATACAGCCAAAAATTTGAGGATGGTTAATTACTATTGATTTTACTCCAGAAGTGAACCAAGTGATTTTCAGTTGCTAGAGAGATGCTCTGTTACATCTGTAAACATGTTTTTTGTTTTTGCATCTGCAGCGCAAATCCAGAAAAACCCTGTGCATCATCATTTTTATCATTGTCATCGGAGTTGTAATTCTTGGTCTCATCATATGGAAAGTGAAAAGCTAAATTATAAAGGAGCACACTATTGCACTACATTCTCTAAATTATGTAGGAGGATTCCTGTAATCATGGTTTTTATTATTATTATTATTATTATTTTAAAAGTACTTCGTAAAGGATGGCTCCCGAAACTTTGTTACTTTCATTGGAGAGGGGAGTTTCCTTTAGATTCAATCTGATATTTTCTAACACTGAAAGTTTTTCTCATATGACCTCTGGCATTACTTCCATGCTTTTCCATCTAGCAACTGTGAGGTTTTGTTCACATTGTATATGCCTTTCATTTATAATTTATTTACCCTGTTGACTTAGCTCTTGGAATGAGTAAATGTAAAGGTGTGTGTGCGTTCCATGTGCGTCTGACTCTGTCACAGAGTGACCTGCACCCAGATTTGTGTTACTTCAATAAAAAAATCTCAAATTTAATTTCAATTTGGGCCAGCAGAGGAAATATTCTTAATAACTTAAAAAAAAATTAACAGACCTGTTTGTGGTGTTTTTTGTTTTATTTTGTTTTTCTGGTGCATAGCAGCACACATTACCGATTTAACTTTTATTATTGGTTTTCTCTTAAAACTCTTGTTTACTGTAAATGAAATCAATGAATAATTTCCTAGAGTATCTCATACTCCTGATGTGTATCTGTTAAGCATTTGCTGTAGATTGCCTCTTAAAATACAAAGGGTAGATTGTTTTTACATAGACCCTGCTAAAGTCTGATGTTTGCTGGGATATGTGTAGTCACTAGAAATGTTTAATGTAATTTGAAGGAAGAGTTTGAAAAATCAGTACCTATTGTTAGAAATCTAAAAATCCCAGCTTGTTATTTTGCTGTGTACTTCCACAGCTATCACTGTGGAAAATTAATTTCCTTCCCTTAAGTCCTTTAAAATGATGGCTGCATGGGTATCCTTGGGTCAGAATTACTTTGGGTGAGCAACTTTCCCAGAATCACTGTTAACTTAAACTTAACCAACACTTAAAAATTTAATGTTTACCTTGCCTACCATTTTGTACCATCCTTCATTAGAAAACAATTTGGATGTTTGCCAATTAACTCACTTGCTTTTTTAAAATCAATGTTGTTTTAATGCACTAATCTGAATACTGTAAAGGGGATTATCTTAGTTTATAGTTTGTATTTTATAATGTTCTTATATAGCAGTTTGATAGTGAAGTCAGTGTTTTACATGGCAAAGCTATTGAGACTTCAAATGGGAACAAATAAAATATTAAGTAAACTGTATCTTCGCAACCAAAATAAAGATGACTTTAAAAGTGTCTGGATATTTCTGTTTGATGAGGATTCTGCTTCTGTGGGACCAACACTTGACATGATCACACAGCAGCTCTTCTGTCTTTCTGGAGTACTGGTTTATTTGGTGTTTTATTTTGGCAGTCTTAAGTGCTGCTACTAGTAGAAGCTGCGTGTCAGCAAAACTCTGGTTTTTTGTTTTTTGTTTTTTTTTTTCCGCAAGAGACTGTAGAAAATTTTCTTGGGAGTGATTGGGAACTTGGAGACTGTGTTTACCAGATCAGTTTGCTTTAGTGAAACAGAATGGGCCAGACAGGGAGTGGAATTCTGAGGTCAGTGCAAGCCCATCAGGCCTGCTTGAACATGTTCTTTCTCTGTAAGAGCACAAAGAAGTGTGTTGTTTCATGCGATAAACCAGTATCTTATGGCTGCACATAACTCCCAATGGCTCGCACAGGTCAGTTCAATATTTTTGCCACAGTTGTACTTGATAAAATGTTTATTCTCATATAGGTAAATGCATTTATTCTATTCACTTCATGATGAGTTCCCTGTAATAGCAAAAGCACTTAATTTTTTTTTTTGCATGATTTTAGGATCTTCATTTAAAGTGTAATATTTTATCAGTTATTTTACTTGGGACACAGATCACTGATTAAAAACAAGAAATTTAGTAGCTTGCATTGATTTTTAGGGAAAGTTTTACCTCAAAATATTTGGAGCAAAAAGAATGGCCTTGATTTGAAAAAATAAAATGAAAAACAGCACAATAGCCGAAGTTTTCAAGTTCTCAAAGTTTTCCTTTAGTTAATTTTAGAATCGCTTAGAAAGGTGAAGCTTACACTATAGAAAATAAAGTTGAGGCTGTTTTTATGGCAGTCAGTATATTTGAATCTGTTTGGGTCCAACTGAGTCTCAGACTGAAGAAGTTTCCTCATCACGTGACACCTGTTCGTTATAGTGTGCTCCGAAGACATTCTAGAATAGCGCACGTTGAAATTAACCAGCCTCTGTGCTGAGATTGAGTGGTAGTGTGGCAGGATGTGTTTGACACTTGTACTGGTCGTTAAATATGGAAATATTTTGGTTTTGCACAACAATTGATGGTAAAAGAATAACAGGTGCCATTGCAACATAATTCAGCTTGTTTTCTAGTAGGCATGGAATCAGTTCTAGAAAAATATACATGTGAGCACAAATGGAGCTTGATCCAGGCCAGCAAAGCATGAAGGCAGCATCTGGAGTCAGGCTCCGAGTACCCTGTGCACCCAGTGCACCCAGCAGCAGCATGGGCAGCGTTGTCTGACACTGAACCTTGAAGAGGTTGCCGCTGGGTCCTTCACCATCCTCACTGCATTTTTTTTTATTTTATTTTATTTTTTTAGGAAATGGTGATATTTTGTACAGAAAAGTGTTTTGAATATCAGTGTTTTTCAATGAATTTATTATGAAAAATGATTTTTGAAGACTTTTTGTCCCACTAAATTAGTCTGATTTAGCAAGGAAAGTACAGAATAGTGTTTCTAATTGGTGTAATTTATGTTTCTTCGTGTAGAAAAAAAAACCACAATAAAAGATAAAACCTGTATAAAGAAAAAAGTCCTCGTCCACCTTCATAGTAAAGAACAGTTTACAAGGGTAACATACTCAGCATTTGTGTTTTTAAAGTCGGAATTGACTACTGTTTACACATGACCAGATTACTGCAATCAAAGTAAATTTCAGAGGGAGATAGAGTTTGGGCAAGTTATGAATTAAATGGTGTTTTTGGTTCATTTAAATATGATGAAAATTTCTCATTAGTGGCAAAGAACATCATCAGGCTTCGTGCTTTCCCCGGGGTAGGGGCGGGGGAGTCAGTTTGTGTATTTTCATGATTGACTTAAGAAAATGAAGCAGTGCCCTGTGGATCCCAGGCCTCTTCATCCACCCTAAGATTTGAACAGCTTGATGTCTCAAGCAAGGAAATTTCACCAGCAGGAGCCTGAAAGGGCTACACTGTACCACTTCTCTGACAACGCGTGACAGCAGCTCTTGTTAACTCATATGCTCGTAGTGGACACACGGAGGTGTCAGAAAACGCCCATCTTAATCCTTTGTTTTGGCAACTATTTGGTTAGCGTGAAAATTATGTGATAATTTATTTTTCTCCAAATAATCGTAATTTTAAGTGCAGAAATAGAACTAAATAACTGGCACACACACTAAATAGATTTTTATAGACACTGTTGCTCCTGGCAGGTTTTTAAGAGGTTGGTCACTTAATTACTCAGAGTGGGATTCCTGTAGGTTTTGTGTAGTGATGGCATTTCTGCTTAAAACGTAAGTGGTGGAATCCAAAACCAGATTTCCTGTGCAGTCGTTACATGCATAACACCCCTACCTGTTTTAGAGCGAGTCTGCTAGAACTGCACTGTGTCTTTAAATAAACTTGAAAGGACACTAATTCCCACTTTGGCAAACCCAAAGTACAGATTTTTAAGTGTTTACTGTAAGTACTGTTAGACAGTAGTTGCTAACTCCAAAACCTATTAGCCTTGGTGGAAAACTTAGAAATGCAGTTATTAGCCTCGATGAAGATTTCCCGACACTAATTTCAGTTTCTAGTGCCTTCTGAAAGTTTCATACCACTATTTAAGGACAGATCTGAAATCCTGAAGTCAGACCAGATAAAGACAACCAGTTTATAGCTCTAGAAACTAGACAGACCCAAGACAGAGATATAAGCTTTTAGTAACCTGTATACGAAAGACCTAACCATAAAAAGCTTTCAGATCAAAGCAGATTCTAATGTCAGTAATGATTCTAGAAATTTAAAAAAAAATTATAATTTAGTGGAGAATATTGTATTTTATTTCATTCTTCTAAACCCAGGTACTATAGTCATTTTAAGTTCATTTAAAGGTGTTTTCAGTGTACGTGACCATATCTAACCTATATCTAATGCCAGGCTTCATGTTTTAATCTACCTAACGGTTACCATATTTTAACATTTAATTATTACTTTGGGGTGGGGTTTATACCCCAACTCAGTAAGGTAACCATCATATATCATTTAAATTAGTTCTATTTTGGATGCAAAAGGTTATTATTTGTTCTGAATTCAGACTTCCCTTTTGTCTTTTCTTATCTACACTCATTTTTCTTAGTAATTTAGAAGTTGTCTATGTTACATGAAACTTCTCAAACCTGAAATGGAGGTAAATGACCAATACTTACCTTTGGAAAGGCACAGGCACTTCAAATAAAAAGCCCATTTTATAAAATGTGAAATGTGTTTAATGCTAAAATTTTAAATTGAACTTTCATTTTGAGATAACAGGACATTCACATTCAATTGTAAAAACCAATACAGAACACCCTTTCATGTACTTTTCACCCAATTTATCCCAATGGTAACATATCCCAAAACAACAACGATATCACCATTAGGATAAGGACATTGACAAATTCAATATGCAGAACTTTCCATATATGCATTAAAGCACAGAAACCTCTCCAGTTCCTTTGCTCCAGCCTCCTTCCAACCATAATCTGTTCTCCATTTTTATCATTATTATTTCAATAATTTTATATCATCAGAATCGTACAGAATGTACTCTTTTGGGATTAGTTATTTGCATTCAGCATAATTCTCTGGAGAGTCATACCACCTGTTGCATGTATCAAGTGTACCTGGTAGTTCTTTCCTTTTTTAGGGCTGAGTAGTGTTCCACAGTGTTGGCTGTATCACAATTAAACATTTACCAGCTGAAGGATGTCTGATCGGTTTGGGCTATTATGAATAAAGCTGTATTCCTTTGTGTACAGGTTTTTGTGTTTTCATAGTCTTCACTTATTTGGAATAAATGCCCAGCGGTGAAATTGCACAGTCATAGGGTAAGTTGAATGTTTAGTTTTTTAGAAATTGCCAAATCCTTTTCCAGAGTGGCTATACCAGTTTGCATTTCCACCAGCAAAGTTTGAATGATCCAGTTTCTTCACTTCCCTATCGGCATTTGGTGATATCACAAATTTTAGTTTTAGCTGTTGTGATAGGTTTTATTTTATACTTCAGTGGTTAATGATGTTGAACACCTTTCCAAGTGCTTATTTGGCACCTGTATTTCTTCAGTGATGTATTTCTTCATGTCTTTCCCTCTTTTTCTAATTGAGTTGTTTATTTTTTATTGTTGAGTTCTGAGTGCTTTTTTTTTTTTTTTTATGTATTCTAGATACTAGTCCTTTGTCCAACATCTAAACTGATTTCCGGGTATTTCCTTCCACTCTGTAGCTTGTCTTCCTCATAGTGGGGTCTTTAACAGAGCAAAAGTTTTTAATTTTGATGATGAAGTCCAGTTTGTCAATTTTTCCTTTTTTTGGTATCACAGACTCTTTGCCTATTCTTAGATACAAAGATTTTCACTTTTGTCTTGCATTCTTTTCTAAAAGTTCTGTGGTCTTACATTTTACTTTTAAGTCAATGATCCATTTAGAGTTAATTTTGCATAAAATGTGAGACCTATATCTAGGTTCTTTCTTTTTTTATTTCCTATGGATGTTCAGTTGTTCCAATATAATTTTTGTTGTAAAGGCTCTTTTCTCTATTGAATGGTTTTTGCTCCTCTGTTAAAAACAAGCTGGACAAAAATCAGTTGGGTGTATTTGTGTGGGTCTATATCTGGGTTGTCTGTTATATTCCATTGATCTGTGTGTCTGTAATTCCACCAATACTAGACAATATTGATTTTTCTATTTACTAAGGCTTGAAATCATATAGACTGCTTGTTTCTACTTTATTCTCCTTTTTCAAAATCAGTTTAGGTACTTTAGTCCATTATCTTTCCATATAAATTTTATTTTATTTATTTTTTTTCATATAAATTTTAGAATACTATTACCCATATGTACAGAAATATCTGAGATTTTTTTATAAGAGTTATGTTAAACCTACATACCAATTTGGGGAAATTTGACATTTTACTATGTTAAGTCTTCTAATCCATTATCACAAGATGTCTCTTCATTTATTTAGGTCTTCTTTGATTTCTTTAG